CCAAAGAAGACAGACCCATGGTTAAAGTGCTGTAATGCTGAAAGATGACAGGATTACAGTCAGAGTTTAGTTTGTGTTTGGATTAAACAAAGGGGACATAACGTATTCATGATGGAGCTTTAGATCTGTGCTAAGGTAACTTCTGGCTGTAGCCTCATATTACTAACTAACTAACTAACTCTCAGGAATATATCCCAAAATGTTGAACTATTCCTTTAATCCTGTCATGTTATCAAAATATAATCTCTGAAGCTTTTTATTAAAATGTTTTTTTAAGTAAGTTCAGAGAAGCAGCTGTCTCGACAGTCGTGAAGTTCTGAAGAGGAAGACCAATACTTCATGTTCACATCCTCAAGGATGATTTGACATCATAAACAAGTTGTAGTGGTTTTTCTTATCCTGTTTAAAGTATATACATATTCCGTTACTCTATTTAAGTCCGTCCTTTATTGTGATATCTGTGTTTTTAGTATCTGGTGTTACTACGTCCAATGCTGATACATTTAGTGAAGCTGTCAGCAGGATGTGTTCATACAGTTCTTCACACCTCTCCTGAGGTGATGTGGTGGTCTTCGTACACATTTAACATCTGCAGGGCAACAGGAACAGAGTCACAAGGTCAGAGGATCAAAAAATGATTCAAAGTCCAACTTTTAGAGAAATTCTAACGAAAAACACTTCACTTCTTCTTCTTATTGCCTAATCATTTATTGTTTTTCACTTAAGTTCCCGTTGTTGAGTTCATTGCTAATCTGCAATGTGCAAAATGTTGTTGTGTAATCAGCTTTATTGTAAAAAGTGTTAAATCACAATTAATAATAATTATCATAATACATTTTATTTGTGTAACACCTTTCAAACAAGAAATGAAAAATGACGTGCGCCAAATGTTCACACAAAAAATACATAAACATTAACATAAAAGTAATTAATTTAGTAATTAATTATGGCAATAGGAGGCCATAATTAATGGAAAGTAAGATGGAAAATAAAAGAAAATACATTTAATTGATGATAAAGATGAGAATACATAGAGAAGACCGACATAGATGGACATAAAAACAGAGATAGAATAATTGATGTAAAATAAAGTGGAGAATAAAAGCTCACTTGATAACAATAGTAAAAATAAGATAAAAATGAGGAATGCATAAGATAAGATGGGAAATAAAACCCACCNNAACAAATAGAGAACATAAAATGCATAAAGTACAGCAGCAGAGTACAAAAAGGGTTTTAGGCCTGAATCAGGAAAGTTTTAGTTAAAGGACAAAATGAAGAAATACGTTTTTATCTTTCTTTCAAAAATATTTACCGAGCTGACTTCCCTGATATCATCCCTGATTTGAAGTAGTGAACAAGGGAGTTAGTAAGCGATGTAGTTTGGTCCAATAGCCCTTTGAGTGCTTTGTATATGAAGAGAAATACCTTAAAATCAACTCTAAATGTTACAGGTTACAGTGCAGAGCAGCTAAAACTGGACTAGTGTGCTCTCACCTCTTGTTTCTGGTTGGGCTGCGTGTGAGTTTTGAATTATTAGTTTTGAAGTATGTTACAGGAATCGAGTTGACTTTAAATAAAGGCAAGAATCAATTTTTCACCATCTTTTTGATTTTATAAATAATTTACTTTAGCTACCTTTACTAAGCGTGGACACAGAAATTATGTTTTCATCACCCTTTAATGTTAAAGTGGGATCAGATCTGCAATTCTAGGAGACACAACAAGTTTCCCCAAATTATGAAACAGTATTCTCTTTTGTTTTAGGGCGACTCGAAGGTTTCAGTTTCTGTCCTTGTCAAGAAAACACTGCTTCTGCCAAATGTGAATGGACATTTTCTTTTAATGGCAAAGACTTCAAGTGCTGAGAACAGTGAATTTAAAAGCTTTCATGAAGTGAGAACAGACTCAATCACTGCTGTTTATATTATGCTGTCTGCAACCACAGTAAGACAAAAGGAACTAAATCATTTTTCTGCAGTGTGAACATTTTTCTTCTGTTTGTATTTGTCTCTTCCAGGTTGTTCCCCACTTGGATGCCGGCCCACCCCTCTACCCTGTGCTGTCACTGTCGCCAGGTCTACCTCCCCATGAGCTACTGTTATGCTGTCAGACTGGCTGCAGATGAAGACTCCCTGGTCCTCAGCCTCAGACAGATGCTGAAACCACATCGCCTCACCAGGGGGCGCCATACTCAGTACATTACAGCCAAAAGTCAACAGTGAACTCTGATTTTTGAAGCAGTTAGAGGAGAGGCTTTGGTAGTGTCCTTTTCATTCCAGTTTTTTGCTGCGTGTTAAATTCCAAGACAAAATGTAGTATGCTATTTTCATCATGTTATAATACCATAAATGGTTATTTGCATTTATGGGTTAATATGTCACTATTTTTTGATCAACTGATTGCGTCAAAAGCTATTGAAATGTCATAAAAAGATAAAATGTCTATCACAAGTTTATAAAATCCATGGTGACATCTGAATTATCCAAAATGTTTGATTTATAAAAAACACAGTTTTTGCTTCATGAATGACTGAATGATTCCCATATTACTCGTGATTAATTAATAAAAAAGAAATTAAAAATTTTTCCCAGTGGAAAAAGGTTTTCCCCCCCAAAAAATTGAAAAAAACCAAGATAAACCAAAACAGAAGGCCCCACATTTTTGCCAATTTTGTTTTTAAGAAGATTAAAAAAATTTTGGGCTTTTTTATTTTGATGAAGGAAATTTTTTTTCAAAAATTGATTTAAAACAAAAGAAAGGGGGCAAAAAAAGGTTTTTTAATTGTTTGTTTTTTTTTTTTTTAAAAACCCCACCAAAGGGGAAAAACAATTAATGGAAATTCAAAGTGGGGTAACCCCTTTTTTTAAAAATTAACCCATCCAAAAGCAATAAACCAAACTTATGTTTCCAAACAAACATAATGTTTAAAAAAGTAAAAACTTCCAATTACCAATCCCAAACCCACTTGCCTTGGGGTCCAAGGGAAGGAAAAGAGGGGGTCCCAGAGGAGGTGGAGCTTTTTGGTGGAGCCCCTGATACAAGTGGGTTTTTTTTTTTTAGGTTTTTTCCTTTTTTTCAAACCTTTTTTTAAAAAATTTTGTTGGGTTTTTTTTTGGCTTCAAACAAAAACTTTCAATACACGGTTAAAAAAAATTAAAGGTCCTGGTGACAGCCTAAAAAACCTTGACTTTTTTTTTAAATTTTGCAAATTTTTAGCCCCAATAATTTTGATTTTTTTAAAAAAAACACAAAAAAAGGCTTTTTGATTAAAAATTTCATCATTAAAGAAGGAAAGCAAAGGATTTGAAAAAGGGTTTTTTTTTGGCCCAAGGTTGGCCAAGCTTTTTTTTTTGTTTCTTCTTCAGACATCTTTTCCCATCAAGTTATCCCGGAGTCGCTTGCTTTTGGCAGGGAGCTTTTTGCCTGGAGGGGAAAAACGAAAACCAAAGCCAAGAAGGACAAACAAATTTTTGTTTTTTTTTATTTTTTTCCATTTTTTAGTGAAAAATCAAAAAAAAAAAATCAATAACACTGTAACAATTTAAAAAAAACAAATTTTTTTGGTTTTTTTTTTTTTAAATTTTAACAAATTAAAGGTTTTGAAAAACCTTTGGCTTTCTTTTTTTTTTTAAATGTGGCGTTCAAATTTTTGTTTTAAAAACTTTATTAACTTTTTTTTTGTGAAGTGGGGGCTTTTTGGAAAAAAAAGTAAAGTAATTTACTTTTTTGGTTAAAAAAAAAACCAGGTAAGAGAACTTCCCCATAATATTTTTGAAAAAATTTTACACTTTTAGTAATTCCATTTTAAAATCAAGAGAAATAAGACCAATTAACAAGTGGTACAAATTTATAGAGATGCTTTTAAAACCCTTCTTCTTTTATCAGGGCCAGCCCAGGGAAAAATGCCTCTAAGCGACAATCCAATTAAGCCCCGAACCAAAAAATACAAATGCAAAAAGAAAGCAGGCACTTATTTTTTTGGTGTTTTCCCCAGCCGAACCCTTCCCACAAGGTTTTTTTTGGGTTGGAGGAAAAAAACGGCCCAAAAAATATTACTATAAAGGGAAAAAAAACCACATAGGGCTCTTTGAGGACAGGAGGCCAAAAAAAACAACAGGAAACCAACAGGTCTTGAGGAATAATGAAGGCAGGGGGCCATATTCACAGGAAAAATAAAGACATTACCAAGGGCTGAAAAGGGAAAAAAGAGGCCAACAACTCAAAAGAGAAACACAGGGCTAGGGTTGGGAGCGGAGCCCCAAAAAAGGGCTGGGGGAGGGGCAAAAGGGGCCTCTCTCTCGGCCTGAGGGGGTTTTTTTAAAAAAAGACACGAGGGGCGGAAATTCTTTTTGAGTTTCCTTTTCCTCAAGAAAAAATTTAGTATGTCCTAAAACACAATAAGGGGTTATTTGGAAAAAATGCTTCATCAAAAATTTTTTTTTTTTCTCTTTTTTTTTTTTAAAGTTTTTTGTAAATAACACCTTTTTTGATGTTTTTCCAATTTTTAATTTTTTTGGCCCTTCCTTTTTAAAAAAATTTTGAACAAGAAAAAGTTTTTTCCGTTTTTTTTTTGAACGAAAAAAGGGAACGACATAAGGGGGAAAAACGGGGATTTTAAAAGAGTAAAAAAGAATCAAAAAAGAATGAAGAAAAATCGAAAGAGTTTTTTTTAATTTTTTTAACCGTTAAACAATTTTTTTTTTTTCGAATTTCAGATTTTTCAGATTCCCAAAAAAAAAGCCCTTTTGGAAAAAAAACAAAAAAAGAAAAGCCCCAACTATGTTGAAATCCGCAACCCCAACCAAATGTCTTCTCAAATCGTCCAGAAAAGAAAAAAATTAAAATGTTTTCTGTTTTTTTCTTTAATTAAAGATGATCTTTTCTTTTCTTATATTTTCCTTTCCCAAAACTAAACAAACCGAACGAAAAGGCGAAGGAGAAAAGGGGAAAAAAGAAGAAGAAGAATTAACAAAAAAATTTATAGTATTTTTTTTTATTTTTTCTTTTTTTATTTTGGAAAGATTTTGATTTTCTGCTTTTTTTTGTTTTTTTGGGTGTATGCGATTTTTTCAAAAAGTGGCCTTTTTTTTTCTTTATTTTTTTTTTTGTTGGTATTTTTTTTCTTCCAATATGGCTATTTTTGTTTTTTTGTGTTTATGTTTTTTTTGGATTCATTGGATATACATATGATTCCGATAACAAAAATTGATTTAACAAAAGGCACCTTCTGTGGAGTAAATATATTTTTTTATACTGCTTTCAATTTCTCTCTCAAGTTTTCTTTTATTTTATTCCTTTTTTTAATCTTAATTTTTATGTTTTTTTTTAACCTAATATTAAAATTTCCCCTTTCCCCTCTTCGTCCCTTTTTTTTTTTTTTTTTGTCAAAAAACTAAAACCTTTTTTATCCTTTTTTTTGTCAAAAATTTATCAAAAAGGAAAAGCTTGGTTAGATTACATCTGTGGAACAAATGATCAAAGGTGCTGAAAGAACAAAAATCCAAGCAGTCGCACAAACCGCTCAACCGACCACTAGAAGGAACATAATATAACTAATGCCAGAAAAACAAAAGTGTCGAGCTCTTTTATATGTTTTCAAGCTCCCCCTTTTGTTTTTTACGCATAACTCTCACACTCAGTGACTATTCTCAGAAGCTAAAAAGATACCCTATATAGACAATCCCCCTCTCCGGTTTTTTGGGTTTACCTTTCCCAGCCCGATGGTGCCCTTCCAAAGCCCCTGCCCCTCCCCCCCAATACGCCCTTGTTGGGGGGGTTTTCCCTGTTGTCTTATTTGCCCCCCTACACTTCAAGCCCCCTTTGGTGCTTGAGTTTGATTTTTTCGCCTAGGGTAAAATTAGCAGCATCCCCTATCAAAAAGACGCCTGGTGTTTTTTTTTCCCCCTGGTTTGGGGTTTTTTTTGCGCCCTCCCTTTCCAGCCCCTTTGTGTTTCACTTGTAATTGCCGTTCCTTTTTCCCCAAACCCCCCCCAAAACCTCTTATTTTGGGAGGGGGGGTTTGGTGGCACAATTTAGCCCCTGGTATTTTGGAGTGGGGTAATGGAGGATTGAAGTCGCCGCCTAAGCAAATATTCCCTCTTGGCGTGCCCTGTACATTAGAAAGGGGGTACTATGATCCCGAGAGTGTTATGGAAATTTTTTTTTATTTTTTTTAAATTTATCTTTGAATAAAATTTGTTAAGAGGATTAAAGTTTGTTAAAAAAAAATACCACATATTGTAAAAGAGAAGTCTGGTCTCTTCTTACATACACTTTGGTAACAAAAAGTTTTAAATTAACTTTTTTAACACCTTTTCTGAATTAGTCACCCACTTCCCACAAGTAAAATAAGTTTACCAAATTTTTTTTTTTGAAAAAGGCACAATTAAAAGAGCCCCAAAAAGTTTTTTCCCAACTTTTTTTTATAATGATTTTAAATTTAAACCAAAAAATTTTGTTTATATTTTATATTTGTTTTATTTTTTTTTTTTTTTAATTGTACCAGTGTTTATTTGAATTGATTTTTTTTTCACTTAAATGTAAATATTTGTTATCACAGATATATGTTTTTTTGTCTCTGCCCTTGGTCGTCCCTTCACACCAATTAAATTAAGCAAAAGCTTTCCTGCAGCATGCGACTCGGACTTATAGATTGAAGGAACATCTGGGCAGTTTATCGTGAAAAAAGAGGATATTAACAAGTCACTTTAGCCAAAACCCTGCCAAAAAAACCCTTCCCCCAATCCTGACTTTCTCTCTTTATTCCGTCTTTACCTTTAATGATGAATAATCTTTTTTGTTTGTGTTTCTTTCTTTCTTTATCTATACACTCAAAGCATATATTCAAAATAATTTGTGCGGTACGTAAAAAATAGTCCAAATTAAAAGTCAAAAGTGTTTTTTAGGCGCGTGTTCACAGATACCCCTTTTTTTTTTATTTACCTTGTGTAATGAAAAGTTGTTTCTGGAGTCCAAACAACAATTCTTTTATAAGACTCTGAACGGTGAAGTGTAAGCCAAAAGACCGCTTCAACCAGAATAACCTTTTTGTTATCGAAAGCCTCCACCTAGCTCCAAAACTCCTTCTTGAACTATTCTCTCCTCCTGCTGCGACCATATGCAAGGCCTGTTCCTGATGGGTGGTCTGAACCATCAAATTGTTATTTTGGAAAAGTTACTTGCCTAGTTTTGTTATCAATTTTATTACATGTGCCTTATGACATTAGTGTTAAGATCGCCCCTATTTTTTGCATGTGTTAATATCTTCTATTCTTGACAGACAACTGCACACTGATCAATTAGGTTCTCTCATTCTGCTTCTGGCTCAATCCCCTGTTGTTTTGTCTCAAGCTTTTGGTTGGGTGACATAAGGCAAGAACGCTCAATAAGCACTTCCGTGCCTCTCTTGCGGTGTTATTTTATCACAATATGACTAAAAATTTTCAATCCAATTTTAGATACGCCTAAAGTAATCTTTTCTTATACAATGCAATGGCCTCTTGTGTTTTTAAATCTGCTTTTGATCATTTTTGAACCTTTCACTGGAAATAATTTCTTTTTAAATGGTTATACTTAATTTTAATCATCGAAGCTGAAAGATTTAATGAAATTTCATTTCAGTCAATCTTCAATGAAAGGTTCAGAAAAATGTGAGTTTTTTTTTTTTTTTTTTTTTTATAAAGATGCAAGGAAAAAACAAATTTTTGGGACTTTTTCAATCTTCCAGAAGTGTGGACAAAACCATTGAGAGACATTTTATATTAACTTGTTTGTGATAGAACATTTATTTTTTAGCCATCTTTTTTTTTTTATGACATTTCATTAGCTTTTTTGGGAACCCGCCAATACAAAGACTTTTTTGATCCAAAAATTAAATAGAGAGTGGACCATATATATCAAGAACCTTTTCCATCAATGCTCGAATTACACATAATCCATTTTTTTTATTCCGGTATTATTTGATACATTTAAAGATGAGACATTCAGCTATTATTCTTTCTCTTTGACATTTTATTTTTGTCCTTGGGAAATTTTAACGACGTTCAGCAAAAATAACCATTTTGGAAAAAATGATTAATAGTTGTATTACAGTTCAGCTACCACTATATATTTAAAAAGTTAAAGCGCACTCCCTTCTCCCCTCTAAACTGCTTCAATAAATCAGAGTTTCAACTGTTTTGGACTTTTTTTGGTCTTGTAAATGTAGGAACTGAGATAATCACATAAGGCCCGCCCCCTGGATGACGAGGGCGATTGTATGTGATTTTATTTTCAGGATCTTTGCTTTGAGGCCCTGAGGACCCAAGGGAAAGCTTCTTCCAATCCATGCAGCCAGCTCTTGACAAGCATTTAACGTAAAAATAGCATTCAATGGGGGAGGTAGCCTGGGGCGACAGTTGACAGCACAGGGTTTTAGAGTGGGTGGGCCCGGCATCCAAATGTAGGGGGAACAACCTGGAAACAGCAAGACAAAAATTACAAACAATCCCCACTGCCTGATAAACGGATTACTAAAGAATAAGAAAAA